CCCGCGCTTTACTGTCAGTCGGCCAATCAGAGCCGTGCCCTGCGCGTTACTGCCGGTTGACCAATTGCAGCAGAGGCCTCCACATTACTGTCAGTTGACCTATCACAGCCGCAGCTCGCGTGTTATTGCCAATCAACCAATCAGCGCAGCCTTACTACTGCCAATTGACCAATCATACCCCAAAGAATAAAGGAAAGCTAAGCGCGCTAAAGGAACACGGTTCGAAAGAATCCATGTTTACAGTACAAGGTATATGATTTGTAGAAACTACGCGTGATCACATTTTTATAGATCCTGTAACTGAAGCACATTCCGAGCCTGTGTTGTTATAATAGAGAAAACTTACAAGATTCTTGTTGGTGGTTCAGTGATGTTCTCGGTCTTGTTTTGGTTCACAGGAGGGAGTGTGCGTTCCGACGAGTAATTATAGAAAAATGATCTGAATTCTTGGTGATTCTTAGGATAGATATTAGCAAATGGTCCCCGTACAAACCTCTTATTCTCTTCCTTGCCCAGCTCGATCTCGGAAATTACATCGAACAGAAAATGTGCACCCGTCGGACAGTATAGCATTTTCTCCGCCTCCACTTCGACGGTCCATCCGCTTGAGTCTCCTATTCCTCTAAAAATGAAGGATGTTTAGCCAGTCAATAACTTGTTTGTGTTTTACCTGTGCCTCAGCACTCTAGCAGCGAATTCCTCGTTTGTAATCCATGGGTGTGCCTCGACCATGTACACATTGTTTTGCTGATCTGTTACTTCAATTGCAGCATTGTGATAACCGTAGATGGCAGCCATTTCAAGGTGAGAGGCTGGTAGAAGTCGAGCAGCATGCTAAATTTACAAATCATTTCTATCAGAGTGGTGTTCAACAACACATTTGAGGGTCTTGACTAAGCCGTAGCCTAACTAGCAGCTCATATGATTCATTCATGGTTGAGAAATTTGAATCTAAACTTCAGCCCAGACGTTCCTACGATATTCCAGAATGCCAAATAGCCCATTTGCGAAAGGTTACGGTCTGGGCTGCAGATCAAAGCTGATTTTCTTATGTTATATATTTCTTATTTCTATTTCCTATTTTTCCGAATATCCCATTTGAACTGCTGCTCTAGCAATGGGCTATCTAAGGTCTTCTCAATCTCAGGTGGTTTAGATATTTAGTATAACTTGTTTTAGATATCAGAAATAACTTGTTATTTGTATATACATCATGTTCAGATTACCGCCTACCTGGTTGTCATACATGTTTAATCTCCTTGCTATAGTACTTAATAATTGCTTCCGCAGAG